CACTATTTGTTACAGTTTATATCCTTACCATGATAAATGTGTATGCAAGTGTTAATGCTAAGTAACATAGATTTATGTGTATTAAATATGTCTATTTGTTTCTATAACAGACTATGTTAGTATGTATCGGCCAAATATCAGACGTCGGAGTGATGGCTCACTTGTACTGACATATTCCAACGAAGGGAAAGATATATTTGGGAGCAGGAGACCTCGATTCCCCAGTAAACACCCCGACACTGTGGAGCAAGAGGCAAAGAAGAGGGTCCAGCAACAAGGTGGGGATGCGACAGACCCAAGACAGGTCCTTGCTGAGTCCACTATACAGTTCGGACACTTTCAGGGCAAGACCTTCAAATGGTTATGTGAGAATGCCCTGAGCTATGCTGGCTGGATAGTGGATGATTCCCGGAATGAGAGGGAACTACCAAACTGCAGTAATCTTACTGCCAATAAGGTAAATATTGTGTCATTTGTAATACATATAACAGGGGCATAAGTTTCAATAAGTCTCACAATTACTATTTACATTATTTGAGGATCCTCTGGGAGATTTGCTTTGTTTTACAGGTCCTTATCCTTATATAATATATAATAGAGTTTAGGTACACATCTGTTACATAGGTCCCCATCTTTTTTTTTATTGATGGCTCTGCCCTTAAGACCCCATATTTTTGTTCCCTGGAATTTATGTAGAATCCTTAATACCATACTTAATATAAATGAAACTTACTTCAATTTAGCATAAAAATGTAAATAAAATTACTTGCAGGGGTAGTATTGGGGGGACATGCATAACAGATTTTACCAAAAGTTTATTATTTTTATTATTATTTACAGGTACGCCTAAGGAGTTACTTAGAACTTTTTCCCGAGGGGAGGGAGATGGTAGAGTTGAAGAAGAAAGAAAGAGAGATTCAGGTAGCACAGTCTGTATCACAGTTGCAGGCCCGTGCACCGACTCCACGCCCAGGGGCATTGTTACCCAGACCCCCGAGGACTTCTTCCCCAGGAGTGACCTCTAGAAAAACAGCCCGCCTGACAAGTCTCGTGAACCAACCGGACGTCTCCCCGAGTGCACTACGGGCAAAGGTGAAGCGCATTTTGTCTCCGGGCAAATCCAATTTTGCACCGTATGTTCCGAAATCACCAACATCTGATAAGCGACATGTCGACACATCAGACGAGTCAGACGATTCACTGGATGATGTGGCCCTAGTTTCAAGTGTGGAAAAGATAGAGGCTTACCCTGTTGCAGGTAAATATTTGTTTCTGGAATTAAAGAATATCAACATGGCTCAGTTGGTGGAGTGTCCGTCTAGAGTTTGTAAGGTCACAGGTTTTTATCACCTGCCAGCTGTTTTTTTTTTTTTTTTTTTTTCAGCTCCTGTTACAATGTTATGTACAACGCCATTACTTTATGATTGTTTATCCATTTCAGCTAGCCTTATGAACACCCAAGCCAAAAAGCTGGCTCCAACCAAGAGCATCTCCACTCCACCGAGAGCAAGGCC